TGAATCAGGATTCTGAGAATCAGTGTAGCAGGGACGCCAGTACCCTTGGGAAGCTGGTACCCTTGGGAAGCCTACCTCTTCTGTTGCAGCGTGTAGACTTGGTCCAGGTGCTGGTCCCAGTCTTGTTCTCTGACAAGCCAGTGGGTCAGGAGTTTCTGAAGTTGGATCCAGGGCCATCTTGCCTTGAGTGGACAAGCCCCCATATCGTCTCCTTGATGGCACTGACAGGATGTGGGAATGTGGTGAAAGAAACAGGTCTAGGGTGGCAGTACCTGAGGAAGAGGCGGGGTCTCCTTGGGGTTGGGGCTCTGAGTGACTTGTGTGTGCAGCATGCAGTGTGTGCGTGTTCAGCGTGTGTGTGTGTGTGTGTGTGTGTGTGTGTGTGTGTGTGTGCGCGTGCGCGCAGCTGGCGCCCCTCCCTGGGGAAAAGTGTTCTCCCTGGAGGGGAAGGAGCTCTTTACAGAGCTGAGCCCACCCCCACCTCTCCCCAGGGGTAACAGAGCTGCCCCAGAGCAGATAGGGAGGAGGGGAGGGAACTGCTCAGTTCCTGGCAGTGGGCTGGGGCGGCTGAGACCGGTAGAGGCTGAGGGGCGGAGCAGAGGAACTTGGAGGGGGAGCAAGGGTAGAGTCTAGAAGGTGGGTCCACAAACAAAGTGCAGTGAGTGGGATGCAGGAGAGCAGGAAGTAAAGACCTGCAGCTTGGAAACCAGGCAGGTCCTGCCTGGAATCCTGGCTCTCACCCTTGCAGACAGGTGAGCTTTCTGAGCCTCAGTCTTCTAACCTATAACATTGGGGTAACAATTACTCTGTCTCATGGAAGCGTTTGTAAAGCACGTGTCACAAGAGCTCAACAACTGTTGATTCTCCTTTGATACTACGTGGGCTCAAAAGACCCCAGGGCTGCTTCTCTGAGCCCCCCCATTTACCTCAGTCTTGTGATCATCTCTGTCCTCAGCCTCAAAGGAGGGTTTCCAGCCCCCTTTCCAAGCCACCTGTCTCCGTAAGAACTCTTGGTCCCCTGCCAGCGTCCTGGAGCCCCCAGCTGAGACCAGCTCTCACGTACCCGGGGATGCAGGCCAAAGGAGACCCCCAAGGGCCCCCTGGTCCACAGAGATTGAACTGCTAGAACTTAGTGGAGGTAGAGGACAGAGAAATCATGATTCCACTTTTGGGAGGGACTCTTTCCAGGAATGAGATAGTGGAAGGAAGAAATAAAGATAAGACATTACATTATGATATGATTGGATCATTGGATCTCTTGTTTTTATCTTCCTGATGGTTTGCAAAGAGGCATATCAATGTCATTGAATTGAGGTCATTTAGTAGACCTATGAGGTGAATGGGAACAGGATAAGGGTTCTCTAGTTTCTGAACGAGGGGACAGAGAACAGACGGGGAATGGGATTGCCTAAAACCCCAAGGCTAGTGGCAAAACTGGAACAGGCTTTGAAGCTGGGATCTCAGCTCCAATCTTACTGCTTCTGGGGAAACTTCTGGCTATAAAGATGTGAGAGACTTGGGTTGGCGATACACTGGGGACCCTCCCCTTGGGTGTCTTCAGGAGAAAGGGACTGTGCCCCTATTTGCTATTAGAAAGAGAGCTGTGCTCCACAGATTGAGGGATAGACAGAATGACCTTTAGAGAAGGACAAGAATTGAAGGGAAAAAGGAAAGGAAAGGAAGAGGAGGTGCTGAGAAAAGGAGGAACCATGTTCTCACCTGGGGAATGAGGAGGGGTCACCTTGTGCTACATTCTTCAGCCTCCCTGGGGGTTGGGGCAGTGTGGGGGTGGTAATGGCTTCTGAAGCCTGCGGACTTCCAGTCTGAGGAGATGGAGGGAGTGATAAGGCTGGGGGGAGGGGTTGTAGATGTGCTGATAAGAGGGGGCAGCCAGGAAGGGAGCACTTGCCAGGGACACGCGCAACCCTTGAAGCTAGTCCTTGGGAGCTGGGGACTGGGCGGGGCTGGCAGAAGAGGAGGCCACCTGGTCACAGCTGCACAGAGCCAGGGCGCAGGGGCGCGGGGGCTCACTGCAAGGGCCTTGTCCACAAGCGTGGGGAGCAGCAAATGGCGGCTGGTGTGTGGGCCCCCACCCCCTGGTCTTCTCCCTCTCCCTTGCCCTTCTCTGCCTGCTTTGTCCTCTCCAATGGGAGGGGCAGGAAAAAGTCACCTGGGGGGAAAGCAAGTTGTGACACCTGTCCCAGCTCCAGACCAAAGATTTGGAGTCTCTTCTCTTTGGAGACTATCCTGCATCGCCATCCTATTTTTCCTTTGTCTCCTCTCTTTCTTCTCAGTCCTCCCCCTGCTTTCTGCAGGCCAGGGCACCTCATGGCTTCTCCCCTTCAGGCAGCAGCTTCTCCACCTACAGTGCCCCAGAGCCCAGCACATGACAATGATGCCATCCTGGTGCCCGGGAGGACAACTGGGCTGTTGGGCCCTGGAGCCCCTTTGTGCCAAAGCAGCCCATCTCTTATTTTGATATGACAAAGAGAAAGAGAAAACATAATACCTAGATTTCAACTTTCAGGAAATACACTCCCACTCCACATGCCCACAGCCATCTAGGAAAAGGATTCAAATGCTGCACTTTAAAACATTGTGTTTATCTTTGGATGATGGAATTATTTTTTTTTTCTTGTTACTAATAATAAGAAAAAATAAATTATTGGCAATAAGAAGAAAACTTTTAAAAGGGATTCCTGGTTTCCTGCAAGGATTTATCTCTTTCACCCTGGGAGCTGGGCAGGTGGGTGGTGAGGAAGAGAGGTAGCTGTGGTAGGTATAGTCGAGCCCTTTCCACTCCAGCCTGCCACTGGAGACACTCCCACCCCCTGCTGGAGACACTTCCCACCCCCTCCACCCTCCCCATTTGCACCCACAGAGCAGAGCGGGAGATGGCTTCTCTTTTGGCCAGTGAACCAACAGGCTCCTCCTGAAAATAGCCAGAAGGAGATTAGTGATTTTTTTTCTATCCAAGCATCATTCTCTGGATCTACAGGTCAACAGGTGCAGGGTGAGAGTGCACTGGAGACACTCCCACCCCCTCCACCCTCCCCATTTGCACCCACAGAGCAGAGCGGGAGATGGCTTCTGTTTTGGCCAGTGAACCAACAGGCTCCTCCTGAAAATAGCCAGGAGGAGATTAGTGATTTTTTTCTATCCAAGCATCATTCTCTGGATCTACAGGTCAACAGGTGCAGGGTGAGAGTGCGCAGGCTCAGCAGGCTACTTGAGTCTTTCCTCCTTTGCCATCAGGTGACCTCCTGTACCACTTTCCAGTCCCCCATCACCTGGGGTGGATCACCAGGAAGCGGGTCAGAGGAGGCGTCCACTGTGTGTGGGAGGGTATCTGCTAGCATGGGTAGCCTCCGTGGGAAGGAGTCTCTTTATGCTTGTCTGTTTTTGCAGTTTCCCTCTTGCAGAAAGGGTACATGTTTCTGCACATGTCCTTGCATCTGCATTTGTGTGTTTCATTCAGGTATGGGATGCATGAGCGAGCAGCAGTAGTGTGAACTGGTTAGGATCGCTCCAGTGTAACTAAACTCTCCTCCCACTTGTCCTAGCAACTATTCTGCATCTCCTGGCCTGTGTCTCTGTTTCTGGTTTTCCAGGGAAGGCCTTCATCCTGTATCCCCCAACCCACAAGCTTCCAAAAGGCAAAGGGTAATTAGCCACAGCTTGCTACTGCCCACAGGTCCACGGGCAGGACGGGCATTGGGTACTGAGGCAGGTTTTCTCCAGATCTGTTGATTAGAATCCTTGGCTCCCTGCCATGCTGCCTCTTCTCTGCAGACTCTAACTCCTTCCACAAAGCGAGGAGCATAGAGATGAGCTCTTATGGTTTCTCTGTAAGAGTACAGGAAGATGGAAAATGAGAGAACATGATTTTTCAGCCTGACGGTACAAGAGGGCCAAGTCTAGAAAAGGAGAAAAATTAGGGGAGGATGAGGAGAGAGTAAGAGGATGGTTTCTGCTTGGGTGTCAGGCGCCCTGCTCTTTTTCCATCTCAACACACTTTCTGTCTGTCTGTCTGTCTGTCTGTCTCACAAGTACACACACACACACACCGAGCATGCCTGTCCCACCCTCCCTTGGGCCCCTCATCATCCTCATTTTCTGACAGACCCACTCTTTGTGTAGAGCAGCAGCTCATGCCAGGACTTGAGGACCCTGGCTTCTGCATCTGGTCAGGGCCTCGGCCTGTGCAAGCCACTCTCTTTAGAGAAAGGCTGCATGGAATAGTGGGAAGATGTCATATTTAGAATCAAAAGACTTCATCCGGAGTCCTGCTCTGCCCCTTAGTGTTTTTGTGTGATCTTGAGTGGGAGAGCCACTCTTCTGTGAATCTCAGTCTCCTCATCTATATAATGGGTAGGGGGACACTTTTACTTTGGGGTCTGGTTGCTGCTGGAGTCTGGTGGATCTAATGGTGTAGTGGACGTGAAAGTGTAAGCTCTTAGGTCATTTCTGCTGCTATCTGCAGGATGACCCACTGTGGCCATCCTAGAAGCATCTATCCCCCCCCCCCCCCCCCCCCC